AATGTTGAAATAAATAAAAAATAAAATAAAAAAACACTCGATGCTAAAAACACTGATTAAACTCCATCTGCTCTAATCTGAAACAACAGCCCAACCAGTCCAATCCAAAAAAACTGCCTCATAGACACAATCTTAACAGCTTTAATACATTTGTTTAAAAGAACAAACAGACAACAGAATAATCCATTCTATGTAAAATAACCAAATTAAATATAAGTTACACCATGCCTTGAACAGACACATTTATATTATTTTAACTCATTCACAACTAAATATATACCAGCCGATTCAAGTAAATCAATCAATATTTGTAATAAATATATATATATATATATATATATATATATATATATATATATATATATATATATATATATATATATATATATATATATATATAAGGCTATGTTTTACTAATAAAATTTAGTAATAAACTCTTAAATTAATTCATAACACATTCAATACAAATGACCATATTATTTAACCAATGAGATCCATTGATGTTAAGCATAAATTTCAATCAAACAACCAAAATAATATTAAATAAATGACAAGCATATTTTTAATAACTTTAAAACATTAAAAATTAGTCTATCTAATTAATCAATACATGAACAAATAGCTGCAAGCAGCAATACAGGGGCCAAGGCCTGCAAGGCGCAGCAAGCAGACCAAGCGTGGCGCACAGCCAGCACATCAAGTACAGCAGCGCAGCAAGCATTTAAGCACCAAGAGCAGTGCAGAGCCCGAAGAACAAAACATCAGAAATTAAATGTATATGTAAATGTACTTCAAGCACATCAAGTACAGCAAGTACTGTAAGTACAGTAGAGCAGCAAGCATTTAAGCACCAATAGCAGTGTAGAGTCGCAAGAACAAAAACAGCACAAATTGAATACACATGTAAATGAAGCACCGTGAGCATTTAAGCACCAACAGCAGTGCAGAGCAGGAAGGAATTGAAATGAAAACTTAATACACAATTTTAAAGTCGCCCCACGTGGGACTCGAACCCACAACCAGAGTAGTTCAGGATTTGAGATACATGGTTTAGCATATTGCGCCACTCAGAGGATATGAATTTCTAAGAAGCAGGGGAGATGGTTCAGTGTGAGAATGATTCACAAAAAAGTTCCATGACATGTTATCCAGATTTGCATGCTAAGCTAGCGCAATGCTAATATATCTTATGGTTAGCCTGATATGTAAAGAGCCACAATGTATTGTTCAACTATAATGTTCTGCTGTAACGTCACTGTGATTTTTTGAAAAAAAAAACTGCTCAAATGTAGCTCAAAACTAATATAGTTATTTAAATATCTCATGACCTGTACGGCGTGCTATTCCTTAATTTAGAATGGTCCCTCATATCATGTTGCAATGAAGGGCAAGGGTTAGTCTCTGAAGCAATTTTGGGTTGACCTTGTTAAAGTTGTGACATCATAATTATTGAATGAAGATAAACATAAATATACGTTTCTGTGTTGCTCAGATGGAAGATCATCTGCTCTATTTTTTGTAGGAATTTATCTAACGTTGAATGAGAAGTAGCAAAGAACTGAAAACTGTACTTTTTCTAAATGTGCAGTAATGTAAAGGGTTAAGTCTTAATGCTTTTTATTGTTTGCAATCACCTTAATGAGAGGAATACTTTTTGTAGTGTGGTCATGTGCCACACGGGATTTGAACCCATGATCAAGAAGGGCTCAGGGTTTGTAGCATGTGGATCAACAGCTCACACCACTCAGAGGATGCTGAAATGGAACGCTGCAGAGGAGAGGCTTCAGTGTAAAAATAATAATTATTAATGATTGGTTAAGTGGTGTAATTAGTGTAATGCAATTAGTGTAATTAAGTGGAGTAATTAGTGAGGTTTATAAGGCTGGCAAACAAGGAGACTTGTTTCTGTGTTTCTTGACAAGGTGAGTTTAAGCAGGTCATAGATTAAGCAATCTCATTTGAAATTATATCAGTGTGCTGTTCCAATTCTTCTGTATGAAACTAAGAGTTAGGTTGTTGAAAGTATTTTAGACATCTTAATTGTGTGTGTTTTGAATGAATGTTGACAAAATGGCTGCTCTCATGAAGGGCTGCCACATGCTTTCTACAAACATTTAATATTAATAGCCCTGTTCATGCTAAAAAGTATGCAATGGTGATAGTGCTTTAAATAAGTTTGGTTAAAAAGTTTAGCACAATTTTAATGTAAATTTTTTACATTACTTTGTTAAAGTATGTTGAATTTTGAAATTGAATAGGCACGTGATGTTGATTTTGGACAAACTATTTATTTAATGTTTGTGCAGGTGCACTGCACATGTGTGCTACAATTAATACTTGGTTAATAAGACAATCTGAATGTTTGTTTAATAATATAACTTAATGTCTGTTTTATAATAATGATAATAATAAACTAAAGTTCGTCGAGACAAATTTTAAGTTAGCTTGTGAAAGTTTGGAACAGAAAGTTTTAAGTTAAAGTTAGTTTATATTTTAAATTAGTTTAAAGTTTAAAGTAGTTTATAGTGTAAATTAGTTTATAGTTTAAAATAGTCTAAATTTTAAATTAGTTTGAATTTTAAAGTAGTTTAAAGTTAAATTAGTTTAAATTAGTCTAAAGTTTAAATTAGTTTGAAATTTAACAGTTTAAAGTGTAAAAGTATAGTTTCAAGTAATTTAAAGTTGCTACAGTGTTTCTAGTGGGTTGCTAAGGTGTTCTGGATGGTTGCTAGGGTGTTGCTAGGTGGTTGCTAGGAGGTTTTGGGTGGTTTCTAGGGTATTGCTAGGCGGTTGCTAGGGTGTTCTGGGTTGTTGCTAGGGTGTTAAGCGGTTGGTAGGGTATTCTGTGTGGTTGCTATGGTGTTGCTAGGGGGTTTATAGGGTGTTCTGGGTGGTTGCTATGGTGTTACTAGGCAGTTGCATGTCATGGGCCGTCCTACACCATAGTAAGTCAACTTTGGGCTGCTCCTGCCCCCCAGGGGTGCAACTTTTACCCCACTGTGAGGTATTTTCTTACAGAGCCTGTCAGCCTTTTCAAATGTGGTATATTACAAGTTTCTGAGAAATCATCGCTATTTAGTATGGCCTACGGCCTACAGTTGCTAGGGTGCTGTAACTGGTTGCTATGGTGTGTGAATTTAGAGTTTATGAGTAAGTGTCCAGAGTTTATTAATTTATGAGTTTAATAGTTTTGAGAGTTTATAAGAGTTTGAGTTTATGAATTTAGAGTTTATGAGCTAGAGTTTATAAGTTTAAATGAGTCTAAGAGTTCGGGTTTAGAGTTTATTAATTTATTATGAGTTTAAGAGTTTAAGATTAGATAGATAAGTGTCATATATAGACAGGGGCGTAGAATTTAGTAGGGACGCTAGGGACGTGTCCCTACCAATATCCAGTGACACTGATATATCCCTAGCAATAATTTCGATCAAAACTTAAAATATATTTATAAATTGATTAGGGCAGGGCAAAAAAAATTGATTTTTCGATTAATCGTTTTTTAAAATGTGGTCGATTCAAAATCGATTCTTTCTATTTTTTTCCATATTAAGGACTCGCGGTGGTGCTGCGTCTTCTCTCTCTGCACTAGGCAAGCGCTGAATATTCACTTGCACAATCGGGCCAGCATTGCACCGTAACTAAAGTTTATCATTGATTTTACCAGTTTAAACATTCAAGCAATGTTAAACCATGCTGTGCTCGCGCACTCTCAGAGATGTCTTTCACTGCGTGCACGTTAATAAAGCCTAAATCCGCCTCACAAACAGCTCGCCAGAAACAAAAGTTTTATCACTGGATTATATCGCTTTACTGTAACAGTTAAAAACACGCAAAATTATGTCAATACTGTCTTGGTTAGTAACCTCGTAAAGACAGTCGGTTATGTCTTAAATTAGCATCAAAATCCTGTCCATTCATTGTATGCATTTAGTGTATAAGCTAGTGTACCTAAAATAAAGAGTTTTACTGTGTATACAGGTTTGTGGCTCTTTATTTATTTGTATTAATTAACCACTAGTAAACTTATGTCCACTGTTCTTTTTTTTTTTTTTATAAATATAGGATTTGTATTACATCTATATTCATTATAGTCAAAGAATATAATCAAGAATCAAATCAGGAATCAAGAATCGAAATTGAAAATCGAATCGAGAATCAAAATTGAATCAATCTGAGAGCTTTCGAATCGAAATTGAACATGTGAATCGATACCCAGCCCTAAAATTGATGTCCACGTCCCCACCAATTTCAAAATCAAACCTACGCCTCTGTATATAGATGAGTGTATTAGTTTAAATGAGTCTCAATAGCTCATATAGTGTATAGAATGGCAGTTTGATTGAGTCTAGGGCTTCAAAGTATTTAGATTTGAATTTTTGACAGTTGGGCAGTTTGAAAATCTGAAGATTCCACAATGTTAAGTCAATGGGTTTTAGGAAAACCGTAAGTCCGATCAGTCTGAAAAACTCGAGTCAGAACAGTTTGAGTGTCCGTGCCGAGTTTGGAGTATGTGAAGTTAAAGGTCTAGGAGGAGTAGTAGTAAGAAATTTAAGTCTCAGAAAAAGAATACTAATAATATTAAGTTTAAATAGCATTTCAGTAAGTTGACTTTCACAAGCCAAATTAAATATATATTTATATGTATATTCACATACGTGCATATCAAATATTTTAATTATCTTAATTAAATGCTTATTGATTTCAGAATTGTTATATTTCTATGTGAAAATGGCTAGAAAATCATTATAGTGTAATGCAGTGAAATATTTTTGGGTGTTTTGTAAAACTGGCAACTTGAGTTACGCAAGTATACATAAAAATCTTTTTGTTTATATTTACAGATGCCACGACCTAAGAAAAGGGCCCGCATAGCCAAGAGGCTTGCACAACGGTGTGCAAATACAGAGGTTCCGCCGCTTCCTCTTGAAAAAAAGGCAGAGGCTGCACCGCTTCCTCTTAAAACAAGTGAAGCAGAGGTTCGGCCGCTTCCTCTTAAAAAAATGGCAGAGGCTGCACCACTTCCTCTTAAAAAAGGGCAAACAGAGGCTGCACCGCTTCCTCTTAAAACAAGTCAGGCAGAGGCTGCACAGCTCCCTCTTAAAACAAGTCGAGCCGAGGTTTTGCGGCTTCCTCGTAAAAAAATGGCTGAAAACAAAAATTCTGACAAAAATTCTGACAAAAATTCTGACAAAAATTCTGACAAAAACTCTGCTTCAAGCTCTGCTTCAAACTCTGTCAAAAACCCAGTCAAAAACCCAGTCAAAAACCCGTCAAAAACCCAGTTACCTCCACAGAACTCTGAACAAAACTTTAAAATGTACAGAACTTTACATGAAAATGCTTTGAATACTTTACCTGCATGTGTTGAATTTCTACAGAAACCATTACTGAAAGGTTCCTTTCATCAAGGTGATGCCCGCTTTGGAAATTCACGTGGCAGACAGTGTGGTGCCATCAGTCTGATAGCAGTGTTGATGAGCAAGATGAAGAACGTGTTGACCTGGACAACACAAGATCTCAATGGTGTATTGGTTGCAGGAACACGCCTTTATGAATCTTTACGAAACCAGGGTAACATAAATGACCGGGAAGTCATGGGTAGGCATTACATTGCTGTCCATGAATTACCAAGGAGACATGTGCTGGGTAATACTGTCTTTTCCATAGAATATGCAGAGTCTCTCACTGGATTTGTTAATGTTGATGACTATGATGAATCCTTAAGGAATGTGGCCATGCCAGTTGATGTAGCTCTTCAGCGAGCTCTATTGAGTGCTGATGCTTTCCTTTTATGTATTTGTGCCAACACATGTGCAGTTATTAAGGAGGGCTCATGGTATGCCTTTGTTGATTCTCATGCTAACATGACCGAGACAAGTTGTGTTGCTTATCACAGCACCATAGAATCTTTGTATAACTACATTAATGAGATGGCACAGTCATTTGGGGTAATTGCGCCACGATTTGAGATAACTGGAGTTTTTGCCCATGCAGATGCTGAAGTTTCTCACTTGCTGGAGGCAGACCGCAGCAGTTTTCCAGGATCTTCTGGTAAAGCACTTTACAGTGAAGTTCTAAAACGCAAACCTAAGGTATGTAAATCTGTGATGACTGAGGTAAGGTCATCTGTCTTTCAATCACCTGAGGCTGAAGTTCAAAATACATGCACTGATGTTCCCGTGCCACAACCAGTGTGTAATGCTTTGCCGAGTAAAGGAAAAAGGGGGAGAAGTAAAAATCAGGATGAACTATCAGAGAAATGGGTTACGAAGTCCCACTCGCTGGAGGCAGACCACAGCAGTTGTCCATGGTCCTCTGGTAAAGCACTTTACAGCGAAGTCTTAAAACGCACACCCAAGGTATGCAAATTTGTGACCACTGAGGTAAGATCATCTGACTGTCAATTACCTAAGGTTGAAGTTCAAAATACAAGCAGCACAAACCTTTCAATGTCGCAACCAGTGTGTAATGTGTTGCCAAGTAAAGGAAAAAGGGGGAGAAGAAAAAAGCAGGATGAGCAGGTCTCTGAGAAACGGGTTAAAAAATCTCATGTTGAAAATGTTGTAGTAGAAGACATAATTATTACTGATGTTTCAATTCCAGAAGTATTTTTTTCTCCATTGACTCATAGAGATCAGCAAGCTTTATGTGAACTCTTGCTTCTGACAAATGATAACAGTGACTGTGATGTTACAACAAACTTTGGTCCCATTGCAGGTCCGTGTCAGACAAAGAGTATCAAACCAGATGGTAACTGCTTTTTCAGATCATTGGCATATGCAATTTGTGGAAGTGAGGACAAGCATTTGAAGATTCGCCGTGCAGTTGTCAAACACCTGAAAATGAACGCTTCAGAATTTGAGAGGTATGTGAGAAGTGAGTATACTTCAGTAGAGGACTACTTGAGACAATCTAGAGTCTATTATTCTGGGTCATGGGTCACTGAAATTGACATATTTGCTTCTGCTGATCTATTTAAAACAACCATAATGACTTTTAATGATGGCCGGTGGAATGCACACAAACCTACTGGAGAGGTAATTGCAAACAATGCAATATATTTGAAAAACTGTAATGGTAATCATTATGAAGTTGTGACATGTGTCAAGCACAGAGGTCAAGACATTTGCGCAGGAAAGTGTGGGAATGCTATTTCAAATGAGGTGAGAATGCCATGTCTGCGTAAAAGGAAGGTAAGCGACGCTGCAGAATGTGACCAAGAGACCAAGAGACAGAAAAAATGGAAGTATGAGAAGTCCAAGTATGATAATGACATTGATTTCAGACAGAATAAAATTGACTATGCCAAAACAAAATACTCTAGTGATAAAGATTATAGACAGAAAAAAATGAAAGTTCTTCGTGATAAATATTTAAAAGATTGTCATGTTTGTTTGTTTAAGCGTGAACGTTCTAAGGCCAAGTATTCAAGCAATATTCAGTTTCAGAAGCGTGTTTGCCAGTATTCTCGAATGAAATATAAAAATAATGTCTCATTTCAGGCAACTGTACGCGAGTATTCCAAGAAGAAATATCTTCAAAACCTGGCCTTTAACACAAGAGTGCGTGAGTATTCCAAGAAGAAATATGTTCAGAACTTGGTCTTTAAAGCAAGACTGCGTGAGTATTCCAAGAAGAAATATCTTCAAAACCTGGACTTTAAAGTAAGAGTGCGTGAGTATTCTAAGACAAAATATCACAAAGATGTAAACTTTCATTTCAGTAAAATACAAAAAGGCTGTGAGGTATATGCAAAAAAAAGGGAAAAACAGAAAGACATTGGTGTTGCCATTGCTGGTTTTCGTCAAGAAGTGAGTAGAGGTCCAGAGTTTGTGTGCTGTGTTTGTCACCGTTTACTTTTCAGAAAGCAGGTTACTGAATGCAAACCAGAATGCTATGAAGACAAAGGAGACAAAATTGCTGCTTTGGCAAGAAGATGCATCACCCTGAGGTATGTGCATGTTTGTGATGAAAAATGTCATAATACTTCTGGTTTTTCTCCAAGGTGCAAATTGTGGATTTGTCCAACCTGTCATCGAAAAATCATCAGTGGAAAACTGCCTGAAGAGAGTGTTGCTAACAATATGCATTTGGTGGACATTCCAAATCAACTAAAGTGTCTTAACTCTTTGGAACAACATCTTGTGGCACGTAATATTCCTTTTTTGAAGTTACTCTGTCTTCCCCGTGGAAAACAAAATGGCTGCCATGGACCGGTGGTGTGTGTTCCTGTAAATACTGCAGATGTGTCAAATATTCTTCCACGAAATGAATGTGATGACAAGATGATAAGGATAAAACTGAAGCGCAAGTTAACCTACAAAGGGCATTATGAGTACAAGCATGTTCACACTGATCGTGTTAGAAATGCTCTGCGACGTTTGATCAGGTGCAATAAATGGTACAAGGATGTGGAGATTAATGAACAATGGATCAACTCTTTGAATGAACCAGAAGAGAATGTTGCTGAAGAAATGGAGGAACAAGCTGAAGTTGAAAAGAGTGAAGAGGAAAATTATACTGAAGAACAGCCAGAGGAAGACTTGACTTACATCAAAGAGCAGAGTGGTCTTTTGTCAGACACATGTTTACAACCTGTCGATCTTGGTTCAGAAGTAATTGATCAGCACTTTCAAGATGTATTAAATGTGGCACCAGCTGAAGGTAACAGTCCTGTTAAATTACTGTCTGATAAAAGCAATGAAGCAAAATGTTTTCCTGTTCTCTTTCCAACTGGTGGTCCAACATTCCATGATGAGAGAGAAAGAAAGATCACACTGTCACGATACTTGAATGCAAGAATCCTCAACGCAGATGGACGTTTTGCACGGAGTACAGACTTTATTTTCTATGCACAATACATGTCGGAGTTGGATCAAATTGTATCTAATGTTTCTATTGCTTTGCGAAAAGGGTCGGACAAGAGGTTGTTGCAAGGAGTAACCTCGGATATGCTGACAAACCCAGAGTCGTTAGCTAAAATATTGAATTATGATGAAGGATACAAATTTTTGAGACCAGTCCGTGGAACGCCACCCTATTGGCAATCGACTCAAAAAGACCTTTTTGCTCTCATAAGACAACTAGGTATTCCAACTTTCTTTGCATCCTTTAGCTCTGCTGATCTCAGATGGCCTGAAATGATCAACACCATCCTGGAGCAAGAACAGAAAAATGTCAGTGTTGATGAGCTTGACTGGTCTGAGAAATGTGGACTAATTCGACGAAACCCAGTCACTGCTGCAAGGATGTTTGATTATAGATGGCATTGTTTTTTGAAGGATGTCATTATGTCACCTGCTCAACCTATTGGAAAGATCAAAGACTACTTCTATCGTGTAGAGTTTCAACAGCGTGGATCTCCTCATGTTCATTGTCTGTTTTGGGTTGAAAATGCTCCAAAGTTAAATGAAGACAACGAAGACAGTGATGCTTTGGTTGCTGCTTTCATAGATCATTATATCACTTGTGAGACACCAGGAGATGATGACGCAGAACTTTATGAGACTGTGAACAGTGTTCAAAAGCACAGCAGAAGACATTCCAAGACATGCCGGAAGAAAAACACAGTGTGTAGATTTAATTTTCCACGGCCTCCATCTAGCCGCACCTTTATAACAAGAGCTGTACGAGATGACTTGAAAGGCAATGATGGAAATGAGACTGCAAGTGCAATTCTGAAGAAAATCAAAACTGCGTTAACAGAATCTGAAGTCAATTTTGATTCAACAGATGCCTTTTTCCAATCCATTGGAATTAATCAAGCTGTGTTTGAGAAGGCGTACAAGAAATGTTCTAAAAAGAAAAGTGTCGTCTTGAAACGAAGTCCAAAAGATGTTTGGGTAAATCAATATAACCCTCATTTATTGCGTGCATGGCAAGGCAACATGGATATCCAGTATGTCACAGATGCTTACTCTGTAGTGGTTTATATTATTAGTTACATCACAAAAGCAGAACAAGAAATGGGACTGTTGTTGCAACGTGCACAAAATGAAGCTATGAATGGAAATCTTGAAGCAAGATCATCATTAAAAATGTTGGGAAGTGTATATCTACACAACAGAGAAGTTTCAGCACAAGAGGCAGTGTATCGCCTAACAGGTATGCACTTGAAAGAATGCTCTCGCAAAGTCCAATTTATTCCAATTGGAACTGATCCTGTGAAGATGAGTTTGCCTTTGCGTGTTCTCCAAAACAAAGATGACCATTCTGGTGAAGAGAATTTTTGGATGAATAGTTTGGTTGACCGATACAAGAGTAGACCAAAAACAGAACATTTTGAGATTCTGTGTCTGGGCAGTTTTTGTTCAGAATACAGGATATTGTCAACATCTGAGCTATCTTCACAAAACAAAGAAAATGTGATCAAGCTTGACAACAATTGTGGTTATATGATAAGAAGAACTCGAACTGAACCTGCAGTAATAAGGTATCCAAGATTTTCACCAACAAAAGATCCTGAGAAGTACTATCATTCACTGCTACAACTTTTTTTACCACATTATGAAGATTACCAGCTGAAGCCTGAGAAGTTCCACACTTATGAGGATTTCTACAACAATGGTGCTGTGAAATGTGGAAGTAATGTGACTGAAGTAAAATCTATTGTTGATTCTAATCGAGCACTGTTTGAAAAGGACAGCGATGAAATGGACCGAGCTCAACAGGTTTTGGAGCTGGGTGTTGATTTGGAAGATGCTTGGGCTGCATTGTGTCCTGAAACAGAGAAGGAGCGCCATGAATGTATCGAGCTAAAGAAGAATAACGTACTTCCTGAAGAAGATGATTCTGACACACTTATTCCAGATCTTGTAGCGAACCCTCGAACTGCATTCACAATTGAGAACAGTAATGCTACAATGTCTCGAGATGAAGCATTGGGTTTACTAAGATCATTAAATGCTAAACAGTCTGCAATATTTTACAAAGTTCGCGACTGGTGTTTACAAAAACTGCATGGAGAAAATCCTGAACCGTTTCGCTTGTTTGTTACTGGTGGAGCAGGCACAGGAAAAAGCCATTTAATCAAAGCAATATGCTATGAATCTTCTAGACTCTTGTCTCAGCTGTCTGACAACCCTGATGAGCGGAGTGTGATTTTATGTGCATCAACTGGAGTAGCTGCATACAACATTGGCGCTGCTACCATACACCACACTTTTTCAATTGGTGCTAATGTCAAACTGCCATATCAACCACTAAGTGATGACAAAATCAATTCTCTGCGTTCCAAACTTGGATGTTTGCAGATTTTGATTATTGATGAAGTATCCATGGTTGACCATCACCTTTTGTCATATGTTCATGGGAGATTGAGACAAATCAAACAAACTGGTGATTACTCCCTCTTTGGAAAAGTAAGTCTTGTAGCTGTAGGAGATTTTTATCAGCTGCCGCCTGTCAAAGGAACTCCACTCTATGCTGATACAAAAGGAGTGAACCTTTGGGAAAACCACTTTGAAATTGCTGAATTAACTGAAGTTGTTCGGCAACAAGATGTAACTTTTGCTGAAACCTTAAATCGTCTGAGAGTTCGTAAAAAGAATGAACCTCTGAGCTCAGGTGACATCAACATGTTGAAGCAACGTGAAACAGGAGAAGAATGCGGTGATGTTCATATATTTCCTACAAATAAAGAGGTTGATGAATACAATATTCAGAGACTAAATGAGGTTTGTCCTGAGGCAATCAGTATTCGAGCTCAAGACTTTGAGAGAAATCCAAAAACTGGAAGGATTGAAAAAAAAGTTGGATTTCATTTAACCGTTTTCAACTCCTGTTTGGCTAAATGTGTTTCCTTGGGTGTTGGAGCAAGAGTTATGTTAAAGAAAAATATTAATGTTTCGGATGGACTTGTTAATGGAGCCTTTGGTACAGTTGTCCATATTAGCAGAAGTCAAAAACAGGACGATGATTATGATGATGACTTTCCATCAGCCATTCATGTGGAATTTGATGATCCAAATGTGGGAAAAATTCAGAGATCAAACCAACGACATAGATTTTCCCAAAATTCTACAGTAATTGAAGTTCAAGAAGATCAAGTCACAACCAACGGTGGATTAAGGCGCCAATTTCCACTTAGACTGGCATGGGCATGCACTGTTCACAAAGTCCAAGGGCTCACAGTAGATAAAGCTGTCGTATCCCTTGACAAGATCTTTACTTCAGGACAAGCATATGTTGCATTGAGTCGTGTGAGAACTCTCAATGGACTAATTATTCAAAACTTCAAGGAGTCTGTAATATACTGTAATGATCAAATTGACTTGGCAATGAAAAATATACCAAAATTTCCATTAGAAAGTCACACTTTCTCAAAGACACCTGGTATATTTACAATTGCTCTTCAGAATGTGCAAAGTCTTCAAGCTCATGTTCAAGATATTCAAGCTCACAGACAACTTATGAATGCAGATTGTATTTGTTTAACTGAAACATGGCTACAAGTTGAAGACCAAGTACAAATACCAGGATTTATTTTCAAGCATAATCCAAGAGCTAAGTGCTATGACAACAGCACTCCCCTTTTCAGTAATTTAAAACAACAGCGAGGAGGTGGGGTTGCTATCTACTGTTGTGAAAACATGTTTTTTAAAGTCATCATTCCAGAACCTTGCAATTTGGAATGTTTGTACTTCTCAGTTCCACATATCAGTTTGAATGCTGCTCTGCTGTACAGGCCTAATTCATATCAAATTGATGTGTTTCGACAAAATCTGTTACATGTCATTACTGAGCTGGAAAAACATCCAGGAAACAAAGTAATTATGGGAGACTTCAATGAGGACATCTTAACATCATCTTCAATTGGGACACTAATGGAAGTCCATGGATACAGTCAACATGTGCAATGTCCTACAACTGAAAAGGGTACGTTAATAGACCATGTCTATATTAAAGATGCAGAAAATGTTACAATTGAAATTGTTTCAACTTACTATAGTTACCATGAAGCAATACTAGTTTCAGTAAGGTAATTGACATTTCTGACACATAATGAAGACTGTATAACTGCATTTTTCTTTTCTGTGCCCCTACCCTGCTACAATTAATCTGAGATTGAGGTCCATGAAGGTCTGTTCAAGTTCACAAGTGAAAACGGTATGTTATTAGACCATTTATTTCAAATCATTTCAATAAGAAAATTATTAATTTGTTGTAATTTCTGCAAGTCCACTAGTATGCTATCAAGAAAGGTTTACTCATGTAAGGTAATATGTCTGATTTATGCAGCACGCTTAACTAAGAAATGTATATAATTACACTGTCTATTCTGTTTTTGTTCGTACAATGTGACGCACATCTTGAGATTCCAAGGTCTATACAGTCCTGACCATTCCATACCAAGTTTTATCCATTGTTCATCGGGCACAAACCAGCACCTCCCATAATTGCTCTTCTTTCTGGAGCTCTAAAGCTACATCCAGTCAAGGTTTTTGTAGTTTTTATGCATTAAATTTGTGTTTGATTTTTCTTCATTTTAGACAATGGTTTTGGTTTTTAGCTGAATTTGTTTTTGATCTAATTCCTGCCAGTCTAAGCCATCCAAACAACACTGGATGCTTCCAATCAGCATAGGAAGCATCCACAAAGACTGCCTGCATTCCTACAGTTGTCTTATAAAATGCAATTAAGTTAATAGGATTACAAGAAAACATCTAAAAATGATCTAGAAAACTTCACATAGAAAGGTAAGTTGACATGATTGTGTACATTTTAATAGTTTAAAAAGAAAATATTTAAGGCACTATCAACTAACAATATAATTTCAGATTTATAAACTGTATGTTATCTTACCTTTTTGTCAGTAAATTTTTTTTTTTTGATTTCTGAAACACTGAAGTCATAATTCCTCCATATACCCATCACAAGATTTTCTGCTCCATGAACTCGTCTATAGAAGCACACAAAATAAAAATAATATCTTTTTTGATCAGCTATGTCTGCAAAGCTTGAATGAAAGCATGTCAATTTCAGTTAACAGATTATCTACATTAATGGCAATATGTTTTTGTGTAAACTGCTTCACTTTCATCAAGCAGTTTGTTATGTATGTAATCTCTGCAGATTTCTGAATGAACTGAAGTTATAATTTCCTCCATATGTCATCACAAGATTATCTGCACCATGAACTTTTATAAAGAATCGCACAACTATTAAGATGGTAAGTTTTATTCAAGTAAATTTAAGTTGTGGACATTTATACAAGCACTGATAATCTACTAATGGTACACTTTCAGATTTGTGCAGCAACTCTAACTACTGTTGATATTTTGAAGTCCACATATCCCTATACAAATGTCCACAAAAGGTAAGCTATCAGACCATGTCTATATTAGTTGTGAAATGTTTAATGTGAAGACTTCACTTATAGCACTTGTTGAATGAATGTAATATTTTCAGATTTCTGAAATTCACCAAAGTCCTAACTTCCTCCATACATCCATCACAAGATTATCTGCACCATGAACTTTTATAAAAGAAGCGCACAACTGATAAAACAGTACGTTTTATTAAAGTAAATTTAAGTTGTGGACATTTATAAATGCACTGATTAATCTAATGGTACACTTTCAGGTTTGTGCAGCAACTCAATAACTACTGTTGATATTTTGAAGTCCACATATCCCTATACAAATGTCCACAAAAGGTAAGCTAACAGACCATGTCCATGTTAGTTATGAAATGTTTAATGTTAAGATTTCTCTTATAGCACTTTGTTGAATGAATGTAATATTTTCAGATTTCTGAAATTCACCAAAGTCCTAACTTCCTCCATACATCCATCACAAGATTATCTGCACCATGAACTTTTATAAAGAATCACACAACTATTAAGACCGTAAGTTTTATTGAAGTAAATTAAGTTGTAGACATTTATACAAGCACTGATTAATCTACTAATGGTACACTTTCAGATTTGTGCAGCAACGCTAACTACTGTTGATATTTTGAAGTCCACATATCCCTATACAAATTTCCACAAAAGGTAAGCTAACAGACCATGTCCATGTTAGTTATGAAATGTTTAATGTTAAGATTTCACTTATAGCACTTTGTTGAATGAATGTAATATTTTCAGAATTCTGAAATTCACCGAAGTCATAATTTCCTCCATATACCCATCACAAGATTCTCTGCTCCTGAACTTTTATAAAGAAGCGCACAACTGATAAAACGGTAAGTTTTATTATTAAAGTAAATTTAAGTTGTGGACATTTATAAATGCACTGATTAATCTAATGGTACACTTTCAGGTTTGTGCAGCAACTCAATAACTACTGTTGATATTTTGAAGTCCACATATCCCTATACAAATGTCCACAAAAGGTAAGCTAACAGACCATGTCCCTGTTAGTTATGACCATGTCCATGTTAGTTATGAAATGTTTAATGTTAAGATTTCACTTATAGCACTTTGTTGAATGAATGTAATATTTTCAGATTACTAAAATTCACCCAAGTCATAATTTCCTCCATATACCCATCACAAGATCCTCTGCTCCATGAACTTTTATAAAGAAGCGCACAACTGATAAAACGGTAAGTTTTATTATTAAAGTAAATTTAAGTTGTGGACATTTATAAATGCACTGATTAATCTAATGGTACACTTTCAGATTTGTGCAGAAACTCGATAACTACTATTGATATTTTGAAGTCCATATATCCCTAAACAAATGTCCACAAAAGGTAAGCTAACAGACCATGTCCATGTTAGTTATGACCATGTCCATGTTAGTTATGAAATGTTTAATGTTAAGATTTCACTTATAGCACTTTGTTGAATGAATGTAATATTTTCAGATTTCTGAAATTCACCAAAGTCCTAACTTCCTCCATACATCCATCACAAGATTATCTGCACCATGAACTTTTATAAAGAATCACACAACTGTTAAGACCGTAAGTTTTATTGAAGTAAATTAAGTTGTAGACATTTATACAAGCACTGATTAATCTACTAATGGTACACTTTCAGATTTGTGCAGCAACGCTAACTACTGTTGATATTTTGAAGTCCACATATCCCTATACAAATTTCCACAAAAGGTAAGCTAACAGACCATGTCCATGTTAGTTATGAAATGTTTAATGTTAAGATTTCACTTATAGCACTTTGTTGAATGAATGTAATATTTTCAGATTTCTGAAATTCACCGAAGTCATAATTTCCTCCATATACCCATCACAAGATTCTCTGCTCCTGAACTTTTATAAAGAAGCGCACAACTGATAAAACAGTACGTTTTATTAAAGTAAATTTAAGTTGTGGACATTTATAAATGCACTGATTAATCTAATGGTACACTTTCAGGTTTGTGCAGCAACTCAATAACTACTGTTGATATTTTGAAGTCCACATATCCCTATACAAATGTCCACAAAAGGTAAGCTAACAGACCATGTCCATGTTAGTTATGACCATGTCCATGTTAGTTATGAAATGTTTAATGTTAAGATTTCACTTATAGCACTTTGTTGAATGAATGTAATATTTTCAGATTACTAAAATTCACCCAAGTCATAATTTCCTCCATATACCCATCACAAGATCCTCTGCTCCATGAACTTTTATAAAGAAGCGCACAACTGATAAAATGGTAAGTTTTATTATTAAAGTAAATTTAAGTTGTGGACATTTATACAAGCACTGATTAATCTAATGGTACACTTTCAGATTTGTGCAGAAACTCGATAACTACTATTGATATTTTGAAGTCCACATATCCCTAAACAAATGTCCACAAACAGAGAGGTAACAGACCATGGCTATGTTAGTTGTGAAATGTTTAATGTGAAGACTTTACTTATAGCACTTTGTTCAATGAATGTAATATTTTCAGATATCTGAAATGCACTGAAGTCAAAACTTCCTCACATATACCAATCAAAAGATTGTATGCGGCATTAACTTCTCTAAAGTGTACAACTGATTAAAAAAGGTAATGTATAATGCATATATTCAAACTAGTTACTGAAAACATATCATTTTTGTGATTTGGTTTATTTCTTTTCCCCTTCTAGAAATAGTGACAACAACATTCTTCTGAACTATCAATTCAAAAAATGTTCTGAAAAAACTTTAAACCTATGCAGGCAGTCAATAGTCAATTGTTATTTTACAACTGAATACATAATCTCCACAGTAACAATGTTGAATGGATGGCTTGTATTACATTTGGCCTATGTATAGTTACTTTAATATGTGCCAGCCAAAAGAGGATGGCCTGCCCCTGCTGAGTCTGGTTCCTCTCAAGGTTTCTTCCTTTGCCACTACGCTGATTATGCTCCAGCCCTTGGTCCATGATGTTCCACACTGCTATCTATGGGAGTTTTTCCTTGCCACTGTTGCCTTTTTGGCTTGCTCACTGGGGTATTAAGGCACAACATGTTAAAGTAATAAAGATTTTTTTTTAATAAAATGAGTGAAATATACTTTGTCTCTGTAGCCATATACTTCATTTTAATGTCTTTGATTTTCTACTTGTATTAAATGGATGTAGACACTATATTTAGTATATGAATTGATTCTACAAACTTGGTGTCTTTTACAAAAAGTGCATCATAAAACAGCTTAGTGGATCGAGCATTTACATAATTTTCATTTAATTTGTAGTATGCTATAATTTTTTAACAGTTGTTTTTATTTTGAAATATTAAAATTAGTAAGTGACTGTCTTCAGGACAACAGTTAAAATGTTGTCAAACTTGAATGTTTTAACTTTAAGTATTGTCAGTGGGCAAAGTTAAACTATTATATATGCATTTGTTTGGTTTAAAGCTTTATGTAGTTAACTTGAAATTTATAAAAGCCAGCCTAATTAAAAAAAATTAAGTTTACTTAGACCATGACAAACATCCAATCACACCCTTCTACTCTCTAGCTCACTACACACAATACACAAAAGGAAATTGACATGACCATGAACACACAAAGGCAAAAAGTATTAATATGAAGAAAACCGCTTACATTGCAAGAATAGTAGATTGTCAAGGACCGCTATAGCAATCCTTTTTTTCACAAAACTTTCTGGATACTCGAGAATGAAAGAATGAACAATGTTTCTAAAACCAAAAGAAAGATTAAAACAATGCTTACCTGGATAATAAAGGAACAATTTTATAAAGTTGGACAGGACTCTAACTCACAATCTCTGGGTGATGTGACTGTTACTCATCTAGTAGGACCATTGGGGAAAATTGTTTTTTTTTTATATATGTTTTTTACCAAGATGCCAAAGTTCCATTAATCAAGTCAAGCATGAATCTTTATATGAATGTGCCACATCATATTCTAATGATTACTTTTCAGAAAGACACTATGTCTGTAACACAATGGTTTTGGCTCATGGCACATGGTTAAGCTTACGCTTAAGCTGCAGAGGACATGCTTCAGTGTAAGAATGAGCACACAATAAGCACACAAAAGAATTACTTGGCATCTCAACCAGTTAAGCATGCTAAGATCTCTTAATGCTAATGTAACTTATGGTTAGCTAATGTGGAGCCAGAAGAGAAAAAAGAGCAGAAATAGAATGTACATGAAGAAGAGATAGGTTCAGAAGTACTTATGGATGAAATGAAAACAAGCTGCTGCAGCGCAATAGATTAGAACAATGCAGGAATCAACACAATTTTTATACTCATCCAACACGGGGTTCGAACCCACAATCAGAACGGCTCGGGATTTGTAACACATGGTTTAGCCGATTGCGCCACTCAGGGGACATGAATTTCAATGCAGCAGAGGAGAGGGTTCAGTGTGAGAATGAGTTCACAAAAAAGTTCCATAAGCATGCTAAACTAGCTTATTGCTAATTTATCTTATGACGTGGTACATCCAATCCTGGCAAAATAGATATCATCGGATTCGACATGATGCAAGGAATCGATAGACACCAATTTTATGATTTTGTGACAAACTGTTCACAAGTTACAGCCTCTTAGCCCATTTTGGGTTGACCTTGTTAAATTTGTGACATCATAACTTTTTTATTTCAGTATAGCAAAAAAATCGGGAACAGTACTTTTATGCGGCTCGGTCCGAAGATCATTTGAGCAAATTTTGGACAATTTTGGACAAATTTTGAAGGAGGAGTAGCGAAAAAACTGTTTTACATTCGCTCCAATATGGCGGCCAGTCACATTGTTGGAAAATGACAAATGAGATATCGTCTAAATCGGCATAAACCAAGGAACATAATGTCATAAAGAACTCAAAATTTGAACAATATTTTCAAATGTTATAAGCGTTTTTTCAAAAAACAATGATATATCTGGAACACTAGGTGGCGCTGTGATCAAACTTCTCATGTCGCTTTAGGACATGGTGTCGGTCATCCCTACCAAATTGTGTGCTGATATGTCAAATAGTTAAAAAGATATTGCAAATTATGACAAAATTCAAAATGGCGGACACGTGGTACATCCCATCATGGCAAAATCGATATCCACGGATTCGGCATGATGCAAGGAATCCATAGATACCACAATTATGAATTTCTGACAAACTGTTCAAAAGTTATTGGCCAAAATAGCAATTTGTCATATCTCATGACCCGTAGGTGGCGCTATTCCCAACTTTGGCATGGGACCTCAGAACATGCTTCCGATGAAGTGTACCAATTTTCGTTTCGATTGATCAAACTTTGGCCGAGATACAGCCTCTTAGCCAATTTTGGGTGGACCTCGTTAAGTTTGCGACATTATAACTTTTTTTTTTCCAGTATAACAAAAAAATCGAGAACAGTACTTTTATGCGGCTCAGTCTGAAGATCATTTGAGTGCATGTTTGGAGAAAATTGGACAAAATTTGAAGGAGGAGTAGCGAAAAAACTGAAAACTGTACATTTCAAAATGGCCACTACTGTAATGGGCGGGGTCTTAATGTAAGGTATTGGTTGTGATCAGCATGATGAGTGGAATCAGGTGTACTAAGTTTCATGTCTCTAGATCAAAGGGTTCAAAAGTTATAACCATTTCAATGTTGAATTTTTGAACTGGTGGTGGCGCTATAGAGTTGGTTCTAGAGACTCAATATTTGGCTCAATTACTTTTCATGACCATTACTATAAGTGTGCCAAATTTCATCATTTTCCTATGTACGGTTCATAGGGCTGCCATAGACTTCCATTTGCGGAAGAAGAATAATAATAATAATAAGAAAACCAACAGATACAATAGGTGCCTCTGCACCTTCGGTGCTTGGCCCCTAATAAGAAAACTAACAGATACAATAGGTGCCTCTGCACCTTCGGTGCTTGGCCCCTAATTAAGCTGCATTTTATTGATCATCAGCTAAAATTTCTAAATCGAAGACCGCAATTAGAGAGAGCGGCAACAGTATTGGTAAGATCATTTCGTTTCTTTACTTTTAATGAAGATGATTGTGTGTTAAGCGAGCGTCTGCGACTTACTTTCACTTTGATTTGCGATAGTTTGTGCATTGGCTTGCTTGATAGATGCTCATCTGCGGTGATGCGTGTTGTTGCAGAAGCGTCGTCATATCTGACTATGACATATAACGTTAGCCTATAACACGCTCTCACACGTTTATTTTTTTTAGCATTTTTAGAGGAGTAAAATTGACATATGTGGTTTCAACAACCAGATGCATTTACACTTGTCCAGTGTCGTCTGGAATGCGGCCCAGACCACCTCCTGAAGTGGTTTGAGCGACCGGATTCAAATCCGTCTCGAATGCGTTTCGAAGGGAATTTACACCTTCTTTTCACGATCGGATAGCTATACGATCACAGAAAAAGCATGAAGTGGCCAGGTGTAAACAGTTCCTTGCGTATTGCATCCAAAAGCCTACTCGTGGACATTGCGTCATCACGTGTTGTAGTAGGGGGCCCGCCTTGATAATCCTGCATAAGGGCCCGGTGTTGGCTCGTTACGCCACTGACTCAGTTCACAGGAAAAGAACGAGACAGAAAAGAGAGAAGCTAGAATCAGTGAACGTACAGAACGTACTTACAAAATTAGCAGGGTTTGGGATTAATTAAAATCATGTCAATTAAAGAGCACGGCATACCTTTAAAATGTTATTCGTTTTATTATAAAACTAATACAATTTTATCACATACTGAATTGGTCGATGTTTCTCTGAGTTATGTTTATTATGTTGGCTTGAGAAAGCCAGCATATATTTAAACATTATTATTATTTATTATTATTATGAGAAATTGACTCTGCCTAGAACTTTAATGCTTCACCAAACTCTGCTCAGACCTTCAGACTGGTCTGACTCGCTTATATCTTTTCTAACTGGTCAGACTTACTTTCCCAAAAAAATCCATTGACGTTGTCTGAGCAATGAAGGCGTAATACTTAACGCTGTCCACTAGAGGGGGCGACAGGATAATACGTCTTTCTGCTCTTTTCCTGTTTGCATCAGTTTAAATGACAAATAAAAGCATGAATTTCATTCATAAATAGGCCGTATCTGTGTATGAGAACAAGCTTTACACTTCAAGCTGTACAACTAATTAAAACTTGAACCCTACTTCAAAGTTTGCCACTATCTATCTATCTATCTATCTATCTATCTATCTATCTATCTATCTATCTATCTATCTAGTATCTGTCTGTCTGTCTGTCTGTCTGTCAGACTGACTGACTGACTATATGAAAAACTTGAATGCAAACATTTATGCACAAATATATCTTAAAAAACAGTTTAAAAAGGTGGTCTGCTATATTTCACAAAGGAATCCCATTTTTGCTTTATACGAGAAGGACATTCTGAATATTAGCCTACTGTAAAATTAGCTGGCTTAAAAATGCGGATTGATCATTGCACAGTTATTCCAGACGCCTCCCGGTGCTATTCGTATTGGAATTGTGTAATCACAGATTATGAACAGATGTTTTACACAACAAGGATATATTCCCATTGGGTTGTTGGGTTTTCATGTTGGGAACTTTAGACATAATGATTTTTATACTGTACAAACTGTGTTATCCTAGCCTGACTTCGTCATACTCATATTCTAGTCAGAATGTGAGTCTGATACTGCTTCATAGGGCTTTGATTATGAGGCGTGTCTTAACCGAACCAGGAAAAAAAAAAACCTCTGCACTCAATTGGATAGACCTACAACCAATGAGAGCAACGCAGTAAGTCAACTACTTTGCACAGTTGTCAACTACAGAACTCAAATGCACGCACGCTGGAAGAAGTAAAATAACGAGTGTTCCTTCTTTTACTTGGTCCTCTATGAGTGCGACCAAATGAGAAACCACAACGACCACAGGGTTTTCATTGCGTCCCATCTTCTTAGTTACCATCGGAGCCAGCTGATAAATTAAACTTTTGCCGAATCCCATAGGAAGGACGGCAAACACATCTTTCCGATCGACA